CCCCGTTGCACGCTGAGCTGCCCAGAGCCCCTTGGCAGATCTCCCCGCATCTGGTCTCTCTCCTTCCGTCCTCCCTGCACGGCCTAGCCAGGGGCGTTGCTCTCGAGCTCCGTTTGCCTCTCAGGCTCCTCGGCTCGGATCCTCCGGGCTCTGCACGGTGCTTGGTGCTGTCCAGACGGCGCCTGCAGCTCCTTCTACCTTAATTTCTCCTCGGAGCAGTGGCTGTGTTAGCTACCTGTGGCTGCTGTAACAAGTTACCCAAACTTGGCGGCTTAAAACAGCAGGAAATTGTCCTCTTGCAGCTTTGGAGCCCGGAAATCTGCAGAGTCTTCTGGGCCTAAATCCGCGTGTCGGCAGGACTGTGCCTCCCTGGGGGCTCGGGGAGGACCCGAGCCCTTGCCCTTCCAGCTGCTGGTGGCTGCTGTCGTCCTCAGCCTGCGGCCCTGCCAGTCTCCACCTCCGCGGTCGCGCGGGCTCCCCTGGCCCGTGTGTCAGACTCCCTCTCGGGGGGACACTGTGATTGTGCCCAGGGCACGTCTGGGTGGCCCAGGATAATCTCCCCACCTCGGAATCCGCACCTGCCTCACGTCTGCAAAGTCCCGCTCGCCAAGCGCGGTGCTTTCCACAGGCTCCAGCGATTAGCGTGTGGACTGGTCGGGGGCTGTTGCCGATCGCGCGCTTCTTGCCCGTTCGGCGCTTCCGCAGACGTCTGCGGGGCACCTGCTGTGCGCTGGGCCGTGCTCTGGGCAACAAGGTCATTAAGACCAGCGAGGCTCCTCGGACCCATCCTCCGGCCGGCTCTCTCCCCCCGGAGCGCCGTGTTCCCGCACCGCTCCTCGTTGCGCTGCCCCACGTGGACGACCATTCCCGCCGGTCCCCTCCGTCCACGCGCGCCGCTGCAAGGTCAAGCTGGCCTCCTGCTGCCTGTGCTCAGTGCTGGGTGGGCCTCAGCAAGGCCTGTCACGTCGGTGAGCCCGTCTCTTATCGCCTCCCTTCATCCTCCCTAAGTACATCTACAGTTTGCTTGGCTACTAAGATGGCTCCAGTAAGGCCCTTCTGCCTCAGAATTAAGCCTTCTTCATGGTCATCTGCTTGGGTCTGGGTGGCAGGGTATGGCTGTGGAGGGCGTCCGGCTTTGCCCGGCCCCAGCAGTGTTGGTTACAGTTCTTTCTTTCATGCTTTTCGTTACCGGCTTCTACTGCTGTCGGCATTGGCGGGGGAGTAGGGGAGCGGGGACATGAGGACCTTGGAAGACTGCGGTCTGCATGACTGCTGGGTCACGTCTCCTGAGGGCTTTGCCCCTTGGTGTCGCCCGAGCCTGGCCCATCCACACCCAGCACCCCGCTGGAGCGACACAGTCAGTAAACAGCCTTCTCTGCTCCCCTTGGCAGGTGAGAGGGGCACTCCTGGGGCCGCCTTTCCCCACGAGCCCTGACAGAATGCGGCGGTGGGACAGGCCCTGTCAGGTGCCTCCTTTTGCTGCTGGTTTACGATTTTAAAGTTGGTACCCGTTTCCCTGCCTGAGGAAAGCGGTTCTAGTTCTGTAACCGGCGGGGCCGACTGGGGGCCCGTGGACGTGTACACAGCCCTCGGAAGTAGGGGCCATGGTTGCAGCCTCACGTCTAGAAAGCATTTTAAAA